TAGAGTGAGGGTGTTTGAGAACAGGGCGTTGAGGAGAATATTTGAACCGAAGAGAGATGAAGTGACAGGAGGTTGGAGAAAACTACATAATGAGGAGCTTCATAACTTGTACTCTTCTCCAAGTATAATTAGAATGATCAAGTCAAGGAGGATGAGGTGGGCAGGGCATGTAGCAGGAATGGGGGAGACGAGGAATGTGTATAGGATATTGGTGGGAAAGCCAGAAGGAAAGAGACCACTGGGAAGACCAAGGCGTAGGTGGGTGGACAATATTAAAATGGATGTCAAAGTGATAGGATGGGATGGTGTGGATTGGATTGATCTGGTTCATGATAGGGACCAGTGGATGGCTCTTGTGAACACGGCAATGAACCTTCGGATTCCATAAAATGCCGGGAAAGTCTTGAGTAGCTGCAGAATTGGCGGCTCCTCCAGAAGGGCTCAGCTCCATGAGTAAGTAAGTATTGATAATTAGATACTTGCTAAGAATTACTGCCTCTTTCCCCTACGAGAGTTTTTTTTTCACGTGTCCCGTGTTACTGCCCTGTATTCTTAAAATTAGTAAAATCAAATTAAATTCATTTGGAACCTGGGCGACCGGTTACAGATCTCTTTATTTTTTACTAATATTTTTAAGAAATTAATTTAGCCTTTTGTTGATGTATGATAAAGTGCAAAATTGTCTCGTTAGAACATCTGAGAACCTGAAACTTCTGCTGGAAGAAGACAGAGAAGAACGAAGGAAACTGGCGTTGAGACAGCCGACTGCAGAATTTAACAGATACGTACTGACTTCTACCTAGTAGTAGGGGAAATGAAGAACACAAAGGTCCCCTGAGGTCACTCTTACAAGCGTGTGTTTGATGTTTCGAGGCAAAGCTTTAATCTAAACAATATTTAAATTTTAATCACTATTTCAAAGGAAATACTGTACCTCCATTACGAAGACCAACTGGTGAATGCTGTTGGTTTTGAGAATTAAACGATTTTGTGAACACACATATACTTACCTACTTACTCATGGAGCTGAGCCCTTCTTGAGGAGAAGCCAAATCTGCAGCTACTCAAGAATTTCCCAGCATTTTATGGAACCCAAAGGTTCATTACCGTGTTCACAAGAGCCCTCCACTGGTCCCTATCCTGAGCCAGATCAATCCAATCCATACCATCCCACCCTATCTCTTTAAGATCCATTCTAATATTGTTCACCCATCTACGCCTTGGTCTTCCCAGTGGTCTCCTTCCTTCTGGTTTTCCCACAAATATCCTATATGCATTCCTCACCTTCCTCATTCGTGCTACATGCCCTGCCACCTCATCCTCCTTGACTTGATTATTCTAATTAAACTTGGAGAAGAGTACAAATTATGAAGCTCCTCATTATGCAGTTTTCTCCAACCTCCTGTCACTTCATACTGTAACCGTCCATTTTGATTGGAGAACTGTTGTGCATAAATTAAACATGTATTAGATTAAGATAACAATATTACAAACAAAGAGATCCGGCAGAAGGGACACGCGGAAGGGACATAGTTCAAGTTTTGCTATGTGAACAGGAAGTAACATCTGGTACTTTCCTGGAATTCTGGCAGTTTCAGCAACGTCGGAAAGGCTTTGAGAAAATGAGAGCTGACAGCTTGGGACAGCGATAACTTAGAAGTGGGACGGCCGGAGCCTCACACCCTGACCGTAATGCATCAGGGGGCTGTCATCCTTAGCGTCAGGTCAGCATCTGCCAGAATCACATAGCAGAGCAACATGATTGGGAATTCAAAATTTAGGGAACCTCCTAGTTTGAAAAATTAACCAATGGCAGAAGTGGAGGAGTGGATTTCTCTTGGAGTCTGGGGTTCGTGGACCTCAGAATTCAGAGAGAGGGCATTCCACCTCGGGGAGTCTTGACACTACTTTCGGCAAAGTCGGACACTAAATTTACTACTACTACTAGTATAAGTACAGTACAAAGGAACAGTAGTAAGAAATTCAGTTGTATTCAGAAAGCCGGAAGGTATTAAAGGACTACTAAGTGCAACCGTCGAAAGGTGGGTGATTGTAGTGAAGTGTTCTTCCTGCCCTGTCCGAGCCAGACCCTTATAAGACCCTGGGATAGGAACTCAACTCCACCGACTACCAAAAAGAACCCACAGAAGTGAGCGGTGGTGGAGTGGCGCACAACGTAAAAAGGGCACAAAGGGAAGTGAGCGGTTATAATACCTCTTCGTTCCACATATTCTCCTCAACACCCTGTTCTATAAACACATGGGCGAAATACAGACTGTGTTTAAAAGGCTAAATAAATAAATAATTCTAAATAATGGGAAGTCTCAGCAGCATGCGAATCAATAGGATCCTCAAAACAAGATTCATCCATCCTCAGAGGCACGACAATAAAAGGAAAGTAACGTTACACTTGTACATCTTCAAATATGGGTTACAAATTTTATATGAAAAGTATATACTGAACTTTTTTACACTAAATATATAGTTCATTAGATCTTTCTCGGTACATGGAATGTACGAAGGGGGGCCCAAAAGAAACCTGGGCGCTTGTAATACAGGCTTCCGCCGCTAGGTGGTTGTTTGCAGCACCTTCCTGAATCAGTATGCCGGCTGGTGTCGTCAGAGAAGTTTGCTTTTGTGTTTGGTGATTTTTTCCAGGTAACTTTTTTATAATTCGTCTGTTTTTTAATAACTGATTCGCAGGAGCAGCGTGCTGCTGTGAAATTTTGTTTCCTTCTGGGGAAAACAGTAGCAGAAATGGTTGTTATGCTACAAACAGCCTAAAAGCCGCCATTAGTAAAACACAAATTTACGAATGGTTCTCCCGTTTCAAACGTGGTGAAATGTCAACTGATGAAAAACCTCGAAGTGTGTTACCGTTTTTGCTCTAGATATTGACACTCCAGTCTCTTTAGCTGGATATTTCAGTGATTTACTAGGTGTGTGTCGAAGTCTGGCCCCTGTATTATCTAACCACTCCTCGGTAAGCACTAGGCGTTTATGTTTTTGTCTCATGTCCCGCTGTTCTAAATTGTGAATTGTTTGTCTGCTAGGAGCTATTTCATCACGAAATTTACGTATACATTTTCGCTGACACTTTCTAGCAGATAGTATTTCATATAAGTGTCATACAGAAAGACACACTCCTCTAAGATATACCGCACAGTGACGTACCACACTGCTACCTAACTGTAACTGAGAACAGACGGGTAATTGAGCTGATAACCGTTGCCTACTGCTGACAAATCATAAACAAACTCCCACGCATGAGTCGCGCTGCTCGCCGTGAAACATAATGTCGTCAAGCGTCCACAAGTTAGTTATTTCCCTTCGTTCCAAACGTTATCGGCCATCCATCATGCTGATTCATCGGCAAAATTCGTAAGCGCTTTTCAGCAATCGGCGCACCGGTCGCCGTGAAGCGCTAGCTGTGGAACCGGTCAATAAAGTAAGAATCCTCCTCGTACTTAGTTTTCTCTGAGTTTAATTAGAGTTTCCGTGTTTTCCTTTATGGTATCTATATTATCTCCCAACATATTTACATCATTAGCATAGATCAGAAGTTGACACGTTCCATTTAATTTCAGTCCCAACCGGTTGTCTGGGCCTTCCTGATGGCATATTCTAAGGAAAATGTGAAAAGCAATGGCGATAAAGCATCTCCTTGTTATAGAACATTTAGGAAACGTAACAACCAATTGTTTACATATACGAAATTTACTGCAGGTTTCATTTAAACAGATTTTAATCAGACTGAATATGTGAAATATGCTTTAAGGCATTTCCACGTGTATGGGTGTGACTAAGACGGGAACTGGAATGGAGACTTAATTTATGGACCACTTACAGATCGTAACTACAAGTAATTATAACATTGTAACGCTGTCGATATATCCACACTTTACAAATCACTACCGCAGATGCTAAGGCTTTTTAGTCTGCTGTGTCTTCACCAGTCGTTCCCTGGTAACGGTTTCTAACAGTGGAGATTATTCAGCTTCTACTCTCACTTTGTTGTACGCTGGCATCGAATAAGTCTTCTCTTCACAGACTCTTACAACTGAATTAAACTCAAAACTTGACCCACTGATAACACCTTGGCGCGCACTGCGTTGGAAACATTGTTTCCAACAATTCCTCTACTGTTTCGCTGGACTCGCTGTGGGAACCTGTTTGTTTGCGAAGACTTTACTCAGTAACGGCTGCGTATGTGATTATTAAGGATCTGTTGCCTAGCAGCGGATGTTGTTTTGTTTGTTTCGTGTATTCTACAAGTGTAAAGCTAATAAATATCCTATTATTGTCATGGTTCTGAAGATGGTCCCAAAGAGGCCTACGCATATGAGACTACATTTAACTTGATCTAATCCATTATACATTATTGTTACACTGGATGGCTTGTTAATCCAGTAATTAATAAGAGTGTAATGATGAAGATAAAACGTACTGAATAAAATATTCCTCTGACTGAATGTTTTCTGTCATCATGAAACTTCCTAGAGAGCTAGGAGTTAATATTCTTAATTTATTTAAATATTGTTTTGTGAACTGTGGCAGCTACAAAGCATCAAAAGATAGAATGAATTACGAAGGATATGGGAAGAAGCATTCGTGGACTACTGTGAACATTTCTCAGGATTTACAACAATAATCTGAGGAAAACGGGAAGACTTCAGTCAGAATAATCATCAAAATCAATGAAAATTCGAAAATTCGACCCTCCTAATATGAACTGATATTCATTAACCTACGATATTTCGTTAGCTATCTTAGAATCCATGACTGGGTCATTTGTTGACTGCACATTGTAACTCACACATGACGTTGAGATAGAAGTAGTTGCTTTCCCCGTCACCTTCTGTGTTGTGGCCCACACAGGTGTAGTTACCGGCGCTAGCCCTACTCACACCCTGCAGCACCAGACTCTGGTTGCTGATTATGATTCCTTGCCCCACGTTGTGGTTGAGCATCCGGCCCTGCACCAAAACATTATGCAATCAGAACATGGACCGTTGCAGAGGGTCTGGAACTCCAATACTGCAAGTATACAGCATACATGATCAATGCCGACAAGACAGCAAGTACATAAGTACGTACAACGTAAGTAAAACTAGTTATGGGAGGCAATAATTGAGTAATTAAATAAAGAAATAAATACATATGAAAGTCAGCATATGAAGAGGCAAGTAAGTAGGTGCTTAAGGAAGTAAATACTGGTATGCAAGTAAATATTGAATTAAATAGGTAAGTAAATAAGCAAGCATGTGGGTATAAAGCACATAAGTAATCAAGCGAGTAATAATCCGTTAATTAGTTATGTAGATAAATAAGTGTATATGGAACTAAGAAAGTTGATAAATAAGGATGTAAATAAGCAAGTAAGTAAATATGTAAGTGTAGAAATAAGGAAGTAAATAGTCAATTAATTAAAAAACTAAGTACGTCGGTAAATATGCAATTAAGAACGTAAAAATTAATTAAGTAAAGAAATAAATTAATAATCAAGAAAATACCTAATTAAACAAACAAGCAATTAAGCAAATAAGTAGCTTGTAGCAGAAACCACGGAACAAGCATGATAACAACGTCAGACATCATAATTAAAGTGTATTTATACACAGGTGGGCAGATATAAAGATGATAAGGCAGAAAAATGGTGATGCATGGTCCGCAGACTGTTAAGTAGGTGGCGAATTGGGTAGATAGGCAGACTGACAGGCAGATGGTTATGTACAGAGAATTGCTGTTTTTTTTTTTTTTTTTACTTTTTCCATCGTCCAGAATTCTAGGAAAGAGAAAAAAACGACGTCTCGGAAACTGGATCTCTTTCCGTCTTCAGGTGAGGAAGGAAGACACCTACTCAGTTGGGTCCCTTAAAGACAGCTATTCTCAATCACTGGACAACTCCTGTCAGATTTACTCAGCTATTTCAACATATAAGATTAAACTAGTTTAGTGGGAGATAACAAGAAACCATAAAATAAAAATTGTGATAGAGCACGCACATGCGTGGAATGAGGATAGAAAAGGAGGCAGAAAAACGTCGTGTTTTCTATTTCCTAGAATTCCGAATGACAGAAAAAGTTCAGGAACCCAGTAATTTTTGTATGTTATCCACCATCGCCAGAACCATTTAGAATCTAGATGGTTATGCAGTTTGAGCGATTTATATATTTACGTGTAAGTTATTTGACGGCGCTCTGAGTAACCCAGACTATGTAGCGTCGAATTATTAGATAGTAAATCGTTTACTGGAAAGAATGTTCAGAGACTCGGTTTTGGCTCTTGCCTGGAATGACTGGTGAAAAAATCCCAGTCGGTGTACCAGCCGAAATTCGGGCGGAGCATCTCCCGGATACAGATCATACGAGTTACCACTAAAGACAGATTGCTCGAAGCCAATGTACGAAACAGCAATCTACCTTTCATATCTTGCCTTCAGAGGCGTTGTGGCCTACACAAACCCATATTTTATACTCTATCTGTAGCAAATACACAATATCAAACTTTCTTAATGTAAAGTTCTGGAAATCAATAATTAATGTTACTAGCACGTATAACTTTCAGGCAGAAACCAATACGCACACCATCATTTCTTTTCAGGAACTTTTGGAATGCAATTTCATATAATGTTACTCTGTTAAATTGTATCCTTCCATGGGAGGGTTCGGCAACGAAGTTTGCTATATGCCCATCGCACCACAACCCCTTTCCGGCGTCTATTCCTGTCAGAAGCACCCTTGAGCTAAGAAGTGGAAGGATGGTAATTCCCACTTTCTTGAAAGGGTGTACAGGATGTAACAGGGGATGAAAGGGTGTGTCAGAAACAAACTTTCCTCTCGGAAATGTGAAATTCAATGTAATTTCTACTTTCCAGGTTGCCTAACCTCGCTGGAGCTTCCGACAGTTCACGTCGATTTTCGTGTGTGTTCTCTGAGTGGCTTTCGTGAAAAAAAGTCAGCAAGTTATAAGCTCTAAAAATGAAACATGTAAGTGAAATAATTAGAAATTTATAAGTATGGCTTCTATGTATTCGCTGCATGAAGAAGATGACATGAACATATCACGATCCGTTAGCTTTTATGTGCCTCTTCGCATATTGTGAACCTGAAGTTAGAGAATTAACTTAAATAAAGTTTAATATTGGTATCGCATATGTAGAGTGAGGTTCCATCCCCACGATATTATGTGGCGGTTCTTAGAGAAAAACTGATTTAAAAGGACCTGTTCTCACACAGCCAAACTGCTGATCAGTAGTTCGTTAACACAGGGCAGAGAAGCTTGTGCTAAATTAGCCTATATGTTAGCGATAGACTTTATTTTTTGCTCACATCGATTCAATATAATAGTCCCAACGTTAAACCAAACTTCAATCGAAACTCTAAAATTAAGAAAATATTATCTTGCAGCTCTTTCGTAAAATAATTCAATTACAGAATTTATTCTTCGACTTTTATCAAAAAAAATTCTGGTGTGATGAATACTTCAATAAAATACATGTTATATTATGACTATTATTCGGTTTAAACTTCAGAAAATTTTACTCTATAAATATTATCATTTTTACACTTAAGGAAAAAAGTTTGTGTGCCATTTACAAAACTACAGGAGACCGGAAAATACAGAAAACACACGAGAAATGACTAATAATTATTATCCGAGCCCATAGCGTCGATGCTTTTAAATTATTTTGTACATTACTTTAAGAAACTTTAATATCGCAGAATATAGATCTTTAAATGGTAGCTTGACAAATGCATAGTGAATTGGGAAAGATTTCCAAGGAAGCAGTAGTAGTCTGACTAAGATATTATCTGTCTGGATGTAAAAAAACACACGCACACACACACACACACACACACACACACACACGCAGAAACCCTCAGTCAGGATAGTCGATGTGTCGACCAAGATACAAATCGAATACTTCATACAAGTCCAGGTTGTTACCCGTAGGGTGACCTATTCACTCTTATTTTAAAAGGTGAATCAAGTTCCATCGGTAAGTTTGTTGATCTCTTTCCAGTTCTGAATTTCAAGTTCAGCCTCCAGTTCGGCAGTCCCATGTAGGCATGACTATGTTTTTATATTAAGAAGAAATTTCTATTACCAGCTGCAAAGAAGGCATTTCGAAAGTATATGCACTCCATTGGAGTACACTTTACACACTTTAATTTCGATTTTATAGGTCGGCAGTTGTTATTATTAATCAATACAGTCAACTAATCAGCCCTATAGGAGCAATACAATGAAACTTGCTCTAATTCTGCTGAAAGCAATCATTCCAGAAACTTGTTAAAATCGGAAAATTTCTTTAAAAACAAAGCTTCCTGAAATGAACTGCCAATCTGACGTCCAACCGGCCCTTGTATTTATCAGCTTCCAATTTATTGCGCGTCAGGTGCCGTCGCCACGTGACACGGACGCGGCATGTGATCATGATTGATTGCGCGGCTAGACATGACCTTGCCCTGTCTTACGCTGCACAGCCCCACTCAAGACCGCTTCATTTATTTACTATCATCACTGAATGTTATCTGTTCGCCTGCTTTCCAGAACACAGTACACTGAGACATGGGCTACCGGACACATCTTCGTCTAATATTTACGTGTTCTATTCTGTAGCACAGTTTGCTTTGCTGTGCAGCTCTTTTAGCATGGAATAAAACCTGACGCATCGCAAGTCCAATACGACGCTTAAGGTTCGGCCACACAGAGCGCTACGTACGCGACGCACGCTACGTAAGCTATGTTCGCTATGTTCGCTATACGAACAGAAAAATATCTCCCTTTGTTGCCAATATGACTGGCCACACAGACTTCCATACGCTACGTACGCTATGTTCCCTATGTTAGCTGCGTCGCAGAGTGTACACAGCGTACGTAGCGTACATAGCGAACATAGCGTAGCGCTCTGTGTGGCCGAACCTTTATACCCGTATTAAACATTAAACGATGTGGAACACGTTTATGGAAATCTGAAATGAAAGTATAACAGAACACGTGGAAGGCCAAAGTGATCTGACGTTGACCGTGAATTGTTTGGTTTGCGTAACATAATTTAAGCAATTTCTTTAGTTTCTTTTATCGGAGAGTGTTTCGTAAATACGGTTTCCAATTCGTAATCAGACAAGATATCCACAGACTTCCAGGAAATCTTTCGCCTAGCTCAAGGGCTCCGCAGGACACTGTGTAGTCTGTTCAGGATGTGCATGCTGCAGGCGTAAACTGAAGAAGGGAATAACGACAGGAAAATGATGTACACAGTTCACAATCACACGACTCCCACCACAAATTAAATTACGTGTGAAATTTCGTGTGACATTTCTGAGAGTAACTTCTGCCCGTGTCCTATAAGAAGCAAAGACGTTAGGACTATCCCTTCTTACCTTTGTTTCTTGCTGTCTGATGGATATAAACAATTTATGATATTGTCATGTATTGGGTGGTATGCGTGACGAAAATAAAGGGTTCTAGTTCAAATGATTGGATTTATTAGCACTTCGCATACACTCTCTCTCAATTACAATTAATACAGCGGTATCGCTGATGTACACACTTTCCAGTTCACCGCTGCACACACACACACTAGGATTCTGTGTTCACTATTCGTCTCCTGGCAACGGAACTCAACACAGAAACTATAATTTCAAATCACAATGAAGTCTTCTTATTTCGTCTTCAATCACTCCGTACTCCTCTGTCCTAATCTGTACTCAACAAATCTTCACATTTCACGCTCCATTCTCGTCATTGTACTTTCAACTGCTGAACTCTCCTGAACTCTTCTTTAGCTGCAAGCGGACCCGTGTGATATAGGCGCGGTATAGACAACGTAGAAAACACAGTTCTACTGTCGCGTAGCGCAGTCCACACAGAAAACAAGTCACGTGATAGTTATCTCTCAAGTCCATTGGCGCGCTGACTGTTGCGTAGCAACTAGGTATAAACATTCGTCCTATAGTTGCATGCGCGTATCGTGGGGTGTTTATCGATACGTCGCCTGGCAATGCGTTAACATGTCACAGTATAGTAGAGTATGGAAGCTGGTATAAATCAGTCAATACATTGACTAGGTTACAAGCTGGAAGAATGAGGATTCGAAGTGCGTTNGGGGTGTTTATCAATACGTCGCCTGGCAATGCGTTAACATGTCACAATACAGTGGAGTATGGAAGCTGGTATAAATCAGTCAATACATTGACTAAGTTACAAGCTGGAAGAATGAGGATTCGAAGTGCGTTTTCCAGACTGATCCCTGGCCCAATTCAGTTTCATATGTAATCGGTACCGGAGGTTCAGCGGCCATGGCGTGAAGCTGACTACTAACTTACATCTAGTGCTGAGCGTAATAATGCATGGAGATTTACCTCCACCCCCCCATACACCTTCAAGGCCTGATACTTAATTAGGTACGGGGCCAACTCTACCATTTTAAACGTCCTGTATAACGTTCATGGTGTGTATTTGTACCAACCGTCTTACCAGTGCACACAATTTCACCTTTCTCTTCACTACATGTTTCGGCACTAATGTGCCATCTTCAGGTGTGGTTTTATTTACGTCAGACCATTGCACTGTATGCCATCATGTCTCCTTTACAAAATGATTAAAATGTAAATATGTCATGTATAATAATAAAATTTATATATTAAAACTTTTCAAGATTTATCATCTATACGTGGCACTTCAAATTTGCGAGTTACGTCAATCCTCTCCTATGGGAGTACTCTTCCTATATTCTTGTGTATATTGTGTCCTGTGTTGTGTCCTTCCCTTGTGACTGCGTGCGTTGTATTGCAATACAACGCACTCAGTCTTTGCGACCAACCGAGCAATGGAAAGTGCATCTGAGATTTATCACGTGAAATGCAAAGAGTCTCTATGAGAGAGGGACACTGAAAACAACAGCGAGAGAACTATCAAAACGCATATTATATACAGTGGGAGGTCAAACTGGACATGCGTGGAAGTGAACCAGAAACCTATGATTATTACAGGACAAGTTGCGTAAATTGTGCTCCTCGCCAAACATTATTAGAATGATCAAACACACGAGGCCGAGTTGCTCAATGCATGCAGCATGCGTAAAATTAAGTGACACACATACAAAGCTCTGGCAGGTAAGTATGAATGAAAAAGGCAATTAGGCGGATATCGGCGTAGATCTAAGGACCGTACTAAATTGGATATTTAAGTAACAAGATGGGAGAGAGTGGACTGGATTGATCTGACTTAGGAGAGGGACCAGTAGCGGGCTCTTGTAAATACGGTAATGATCCATCGGGTTCTGTAAATTTCTTGGAATTTCTCGAGTAACTGAGCTTCTCAATGACAGAATTCCATGGATCTAGTTAGCAAAATCTTGACATACTCACATTATGCCGCCACTCCACTTTATAAACCGACGGTCGCGCTTGAATCAGGCAGTCGAAGTACACATCGGTACCTTCCCGAATTGTCTCGGGGTTGAGAGACGAGCCGAGCTGCAGTCTCGCCATGGGAATATCTGAAACAATATTTGCGTGTAATTTCGTAACAGTGTACGCACTAGGCGGACGTTCGTCGAGCAAACGACACAAATAAAAACAGAACTACAGATTCATTGGATGAGAGGTCCTCACGGGCGATGATATGAAATTTCGTTACTGTCTTCAAGGGTGTGACATCATGTGGTCTGGTAGAAATTTATCGGTGTTTCGGAGGAATCTGCTGCCTCTCCCTAGTATCCTGTAGATGAGGATTGCAGATTCTTCCGAAACGTTGTAAACGATTTGCCAGACTACAGACTACCAGAAGATGAACACTCTGCGATTTGACACCGTGTAGTCTGGTGAACAGGTACAAACAATTAGGAGGAACTTGTTGCTCTTTTCTTCTATAATGAAGCTGTGGACGGCTAAATTATTCTGCGGAGCTGAGTACCTTAGAATAAATGTAGCTCTCTTTCAAAAACTTTTCAAGTAACTGATGTTAGGCATTTTCGGTTAACACTGTTTCAAACAAATTTCTGCTTAAATTCCAACATGCATTACATTAATAATTATAGACAATGTAAAGGAAAGGCACGGACAAATTTCAGCACGAGTTTCACAAGCCAAAACAAGGAAAAATGTCCATATCAACAAGTGTCTGGAAATATTTAAATTGTGTTCAATTAAATGTGAGACTGAATAATATTAAGCATAACTGTAAAATAACGTCAATTTTTGTTTTTACGATCAGTTTACACAAAGATATACACGTACTGCGAGCAGTAAATTATAGGAAATGAAAAGTATAAAGGAAAATAAATTGTCTTAAAACAAATACCGTATTTATGCGTGTATAGGCCGCAGCACAATTTTCGGACAGAAAGTATAGAAAAAATAATTTTCTTGGAATATTATTTCAGGAGTAGAAATTATTCCGAAATATTCCGAATATAATTTTTTTAAATGAAGTGTGATTTCGAATATTTCGAATATAAGCCGCACCCCAGTTTTCCTCTTGAATTTTTGGCAAAAAATGTGCGACATATACATGCGTAAATACGGTAGTTCTTACATCAGTCTGATAATTCTAGAGACAATTAAATTGAAGTGCGCGAACATTCCATATTTGTTAAGATACGCATATGGGGAAATAGCATGATATGACGTTGCTAAAAAAAATTACCGAAAAAAGCACAAATATTATTAGTACTGCAGTCTTCCAAATTCGATTGAACATTTGGTATCTTTAATTGCCTTAAAGCGAATTAAATTAATTACATGTTTTGGAATTAATTAAATTAGAGTGTCAATCACCGAATTAGCTCGGGCGATCTAGTCGGATTCTTTAACTTAGGCCAAACTTAGGATAAGCTTTGATTTGTTTGCAAAACAGAGGGCTTCACAAAGAAACTAGGATACGTGGTCGGCGTTCCTTTTGAAATTCTTTCTTGTTGCTGGCAGAAGTCGCAATTTTTAAGGGGGGGGATGTTTCTATGACCTGCGCCACTGCTCACGTGGANCCCTTAGTTAAAGTTCGTGAAAATTACGAGAGTCTTTTCTTGCAGAGACGCTTGACTTAAACATTCTGTAAATTTCAGTGATCGTATTCGACTTGCCTGAGTGCTATACGACCACAAATTCTGAATATTCAACTTCGTAACCAATTCGTCTTTCGGAACAATAACTGGCTTATTAATTTCACAGAAATCGTTATTGGCAATTCCAGTAAATCATAACAAACTGCCTTTTAGAAATGCTGAAAGTGAATTTAAGTCTTCCCAACTTTGCAGAAGGAGTGAACTACTGTGTTGCTCAACCACGGAAATGTAGTAATAAAGAGCCAAGCGGAATGATCCTTGGTCTTCTGAGTGAAGAACCGCCACGTGTGTGTGTACCTACTGGTCATTCTGAGCCGTAGCCTGCTAATATTCCTGCCTTCCCTGAGCTAACACACCAAAGCCACCTGCAAAATTAGGTCAAATACAAATCATTTTGAGGCAGGCGGTAGCGTACTTGATTCAGGCACTACGATTCAAACCGGAAGGTCACGGGTGCATTCCCGATGAGGTCATTGCATTTTTCAATTAAACTAATCTTTCCAGCCACACTACTGTCCCGTGGCCGATTTAGCCTCTAGCAGAAATGCGCACCAGGAATCTTCCTGGGGGTAAAGAACGGCCGGCGCTTAAGGCTGACAATCTCACCGTCATACGTCAGTCGACTGTCTAGAAAATGTGGGAGCCTCGACGTTTGACAACCCTATGGGTCGTTACGGCCTGTTATAGCTTTACCTTACCTTTACAAAATTATTTTAGAGTCCCCCTACCCTGGAATACCATTGGCGCCAAATAAATAATTGGAATTACTTTTCGGCCTTACCTTATAAGTTAAAAAATAGCTAGTCGGAAACCGTCCTATATGTCCAACTTTTCATCACACCTACTGAACCCAGTGAAATCCAAAATTGCGGCAACGGCTAACTTAAATGGTGCAGGAAGGTTGCAGTATAAAACTCTTTTTTTTTTCAGGAAATTTAGTTACTGACGTAAGAATGTACATGTACAGGAACTCATTGTACTTAGAGAGACCCATATCTTCAAAGCTGAAATAAACTTGATCCTGCCACTCTTTGCAAATGGAACACTCTGTCCAGATATCACACATCTCGTTGCATACATGTCGTACACTGGTCTCGGTCAGTCTGCAGGACGGTTGGAAAATACTTCTCTCGTTTCATTTCATCTGAATCTCTCTCCCATCATCTCTACTCTTCTTTTGTCCTTTTTTCTGTCTTTCTTCCAGAGCACGCTTCGCTGGAGAATTCGTCATCACGTCATTGGAGCTGCAATTGTTTTTCGATGATCACTCAGATTCTGGAAGCGACTCAGATTCTGGAAGCGACTGCATTTTTCACGGAGTGCCATTTCGCTCACTTGCAGCCGCTGGTGCCAGTGCTGGGTCATGACTCGATTGTGTATCTTGTGATATTGAGTCATCATACCTTGCTGGTGATTCTATCGCCTGCATTTACTCCTTTTACAGATAAAACGCAAAAAGTCTTACTTCGAAAACAAGCTCGGAATTCCACGACACCGTTCCCTGCTGTTGCGGGTTCTAGGTATGCTTCATAGAACATAATTCCTATTTGTCTTTCCGCGATACATTTACCTGTATCAGACACCATGATAGCGTCACAGTCCTATTGTAAAACTTATCGAAGAAAGATATGTCAAGCGCTTCAAGTGCGAAGTACTAGGGAGAAATCCAAACATGACTAATCTAATTTCACGACAGAAGTCGATCGCAGGTGTAGAAACGTGAAATTCTTTATACGCCTTGAGAATGTGCACAGACTGCTTCGTTGCTCAAGGAAATATTTAAGATAAAGCATAAAACTTCTGTTGTTACGTGGTTTGTGTCATGGACATTTCTAACGATCCTTGATGGGCAGCAATAGAGTAACTCAGTATTCATTCTTTTCGGGGAAGTACATAGTGGAACACAGACACCGGATGCATTCATAAAGCATACCATGCCTTCTGAGGAGAATACTTTAGCTACGCGAAGTTGGGTTGAGGCAGTGGACAACCCTGATTCAAGAAGGTTGTAAATGCTTTGTAACGTAATTTTTCCTCACGATATTCTTTTAGGAGTTCTGAAACATCGCAACTTGCACATGGTTGAATCCGTGATATTACTTCCTTGGTTAGTAGACTGAAATTCCTTGCTTTTACGAAGTTTTCGAGACTGTTCATTTGATCCATTTTTGCGTTTCGTTTAAATATATATAAGAGCTATTATTCGCCTGGCGATAATCGTAAGTCAATTCTCTGTACCGGATGATATTATGACTGAATGTCATCATATCAGATTTAGTAAGATACTTCTGCAGATGCTGTAGCTATGGGTTACTGGCGGCATTTACCAATCTACTTCCACGTATTCGAATATCGTGTAAAGAAACAGAGAATCAACGTATTACGTATGTAAAACCTTTGTGTTTACGGCTTATTATCAACTGCTGACATTATCTGGCCTCGATTTCGGTCATACTTATGAAGAAGTAGGTGAAATGAATGCCGAAGGATGCTAGGTTTCCGAAAGAGAACTTCCACTAAAGTTTGCCTCTGAGCAAGAAATTCAGATACTGAACCCAGGTCGGATTGGTAGGAAGCGGAGGCGCTACCTCTCAAATTTCGACACGGACACTGATGTTCAGCGTCAGGGTAAAAATGTACCTTATTCGTATTTACGCATCTTGTGTAACACAAATGAATTGGATTGGTTTACGATCACAGATCTTAAGAATTACACATCGAAGGGCAGAGTTCCGCTGAAAATTATTTATTATTTTCGCGCAAAATGAGGTATACAGTAGCGTAGTTGGTTGAGGCACTAAGCTACAAGCCGGAAGATCGCGGTTTCTAGTCCCGATGAGGTCATTGTATTTTTCAATTTACCTAATCCTTCCAGCCGCACTATGGCCTTAGGATCGACTCAGCCTCTAAGAGAAATGAGTACCAGGAAACTTCCTGGGGCTTAAAGGGCGGCCGGTGCGTAAGGCTGACAAACTTACCGCCATCTGTGAGCCGATTGTCTAGAGAAAATGTGTGAGCCTAGACCTCTCACACTTTTATGGATCTTCACGGGCTGTTAGGGGGATAATTTTACCTTTATCACGCAAATACTGGTGGCAAAAATAAAGCGTTTTTTTTATCTGACGTCACATCAATTTGTAAGTAGAAAATCATGCACAAATATTCAGCTCTCTAGACATTTTAAAATTCCACCTAAAACTAGCTGTCGGAACACCATATGTTGCAGCGGAAGTCGTACATTTCTCCTTTATGCACTGCATGAAGTGCAGCAGCCATGCCCTCTTCTGTCTAGCGTCTTCGATTGTGTGGCCGGAAGAAATAGAAGTCATGGTGAGGTTATATGCTCTGTAGTGTGTAATTTAGTGAGACTTTTATAGCTCTGTCAACTTTAGCGGATAGAGGGTGCCGCGTGGTCAGCGCAACGGAAAGCTGGCATT